AAGCTAGTCTGTCTGTGTATAACTGTTACAAGTGTTTGTTTTGTATTGCCAGCAATGAGTTGGACTTATTTTTGATGGGACCCCGCCAAGGCTGCTCTGTCCTCCGGCTCTCTTTATAATGTTTTATGAACAGAATTTCTAGGGGTAGCCAAGCGGCAGAAAGCTTTCACCTTGGTGGCCTTATAATCTCTTCTGAGCAGGTGACCTTCAGCTCATACTGGAGAAGTTTGTAGCTGAGTGAAGTGGCAGGAATGAGTATTGGCACCTCCAAGTTACAGGTTATGGTCCTCAATAAGAAAAGGGCCACTTCGAGTGAGAGACAAGCTGATGCCCCAAGTGCAGGAGTTTAAGTATCTTGGGGTCTTCTTCACCAGCAAGGGGAAAGAGGAGCAGTCTGATGGATTGGGCTGCATCTGCAGTGATATGAACACTGCAGTATAAGCTTAACATAAAATTATAAATACTCCTAGTAAACCAAATTTCCCAATCTTCATCGTCAGTGTGGATTAGACTTCACACAGTATGTTGACAGAAACTGCTTCAAAGAGCAGCACTCATCTGCTTGACATAGCACCCAGTGACGGTTATGAACATTAACTGTTAATGGACACAGAAACTGCTACCGCAGTTAATAGTAGCCACACTCAGATAAATCAAATATGTGTACAGCATTATTCACAGCGTTACAACTTTCAACATTTTGAAACAAGCCAATTCTGAAATTAATGATTAATTCAGGAAAACCAGATTCCATAAGCTCATTATCGTGGTGTATAGTTTGCATTTGTGTTTTGCCAGAGTGGGGCCATTCAGTGGTTCTTTTGACTGCTCCACCAAGACGAGAGTTGAGGTCAATGGATATATTTGGTGATGTTTGTCAGCAGGATTATGATGAAACTAACAATTTGAATTTCACAGAACTTGACAGGTTACCTGTTTGTACATGTAACGAAGCATAAAGTCGAGCAGGAAGGATTTGCCCTTGCGAAAAGCTCCAGCCACAGAGACGACGACCACATGGAGGTCCTGGACCTTCTTCTGCAGCAGCAGTTGCTCCAGCACCTGCTCCTGCAGGAAGAATGAATGCTCCTCCTCATTTGCCACTACAATCTGCACAGGCTGGGGCCTGCCCACTTTCTCCTCCTCTTCCTCCTCCAGCAGGTCATAGTCCTCCTCTTCACACCTCATCTGGGATGCGCATGATTTAAAACTGTGGCCACCTGAGAGGGGGAAAGTAAGCTTAGAATGTGTCTGAAGGCTCAGAATGCAGAAATGATTGGTCATGACTGTTCACTGGTACAAAGCAATAACTAGCCAATTAAAGGGATTTACAGCCTGTGTTCTTATTATCAATTATCATTTGTAGCAAAAAAATATCGTTTTCAGTTGTCTCAACATTCATGAACATTGCTGTTAAATATAACATGACTTTCTAGCAATTTAATTTTGGCAACTCTACATATAACAACCACTTGTGAAACAGTTGGTTGTGAGTGCTTAGATAAATTACACTCACTTCCAGATTCTTTAAAAATCAGTGTGGAGTTTGGAGGGGTGGGTGGCAGCTACATTGATCCTGTTATTATATGGGAGACCATTTCTATTATTTTTGACTTGGATAATTCAATTCAATTCAATTTCATTTATATAGCGCCAAATCACAACAAGCGTCGCCTCAAGGCGCTTTATATTGTACAGTAGATCCTACAGTAATAGATACAGAGGAAAAACCCAACAATCATATGACCCCCTATGAGCAAGAACTTTGGCGACAGTGGGAAGGAAAAAACTTCCTTTTAACAGGAAGAAACCTCCGGCAGAACCAGGCTCAGGGAGGGGCGGCCATCTGCTGCGACCGGTTGGGGTGATAATGAAACTCATCTCTCAATGCAAAGTCGAGCCAAATGTATTTATAAAGCAAATAAATAAGAAATAGAAAGGAATATATAGATTAGGAATAGATTAAATAGATGTTAGTGGGGGCTAAACATATATAATAATGACTGAAAAAATACACAGGAGAGACAATAGGTTTTCAGACAGACTCAAATGCCACTACATTCTTACAGATTTATTTCACCAGTAGGCAAATAAAGAGTCCAGAGTGTGTACTGAGGGCACAAAGAACAGAGGTGAGCCAATTAATACCTCCTTTAACCTCCTAGGACCTGGCATCCACATATGTGGACATCACATTTTGAGTTATTTAGACTTCAATACTAAATTTTGCTCTACAAGGGTCTGATATCCACTTACGAGGACATTATACTGCTACTGTTCTATCAAGATTTTAGACGAATACCCTCATTTGTGGCTCTTATTTTTCTTAAAAACAAAAATAAGGTTAAAAAAAAAAAATCTGGTAATTCTTTGTTTTTACATTCATCAGGTCCCAATATGCCCAAATAAAAAAAATGCATGCTGTGGAAGAGTTCGGGTCTTAGGAGGTTAATTCAGTTTTTATTTAATAGAACCATAAGCATGAAGAGTAAGAGTAATAAAGATGCACATGTTATAACTTAATATAATAAGCTCATTATAGTCTACTTAATTTTCTATTATGCTGGAAGTCAGAAACTCCCTGATCTGTGTGTTACCAGTATTAGTGAAATGGCCTGCAAAACTACAGTTAGAGTACAGTAACTGTACAGTTACATTAAGGTAGCCCTGTCATTACAGGGCTACCTTAATGGTTCACACCAACTTTACAAGCAATTGTCACAAGGTAACAGTACAAAGATTATGACGCAAATCACACAATCTTAATCAGTAATAGTAATAATAATAATGGATTGGATTTATATAGCACTTTTCAAGGCACCCAAAGCGCTTTACAATGCCACTATTCATTCACTCTCACATTCACACACTGGTGGAGGCAAGCTACGGTTGTAGCCACAGCTGCAGTAACATCCTTTTTACAGCTAACTGTTGATCTGACACAGCTACACATTGTCATCGATAACAATGACTAGGAAAATTGCTCAACATCTAATTTTATTGATGTGTCATATTACAGAAACACTTATATGGTTTAAGAACTACAATATACTACAGAAATACATTGGAGAGTATCGCCTTGACTGCCTGCCAAGACTACACTCAGTACTAACAAAGAAAAATGTAGTGTGACCATTAAAACACAGCATAACAGGAGGGTGGAGAAGATGGAAGAAAGATGAAAGGGAGACTTTGAAAAGTGTGTGAGAATATCACAGTCGTCCTGCGACTGCAACGCACAAGTACTTAAAAGATCAGTGCCCTGGAGCTGTGACGTCAACTCTGAATAGGTACATTTGAGGAAGTTAAATTACTGTGAAATTTTTATTAAATGGGAGGTCTGGATTTTCCAATAATATGCGACTTTGATAATACAAAGTTGTCTGTAAACCTAGCCAAAATCCACAAACAAATACTTTATTAGTGGAAGATGATATTTACCCATAACTTTACATGGTTCTACTCAATGGAACAAGAGAACCATTATCAGAAATAGAAAAAACACTGGATATAGAAACAGTTTCATGATAATGGTATTTTTATTAATCACCATGACAATGGTAAATTTTTACAATTGGAAGCATTCCAAGACAAATTTTACATACAATATTCTTATTGTCATTACAAATTGTCAATGCAATTACAAATTGATCAAATACATGACTTCTCACGAGAAAGAAACAAAGAAAGAAACAAAAAAAAAAAAAAAAAAAAAAAAAAGGGGGGGGGGGTTTGGTGACAACAATATAATCTCTAATAAATATTATAAATATGAGAAATGGCCAATACCTCCAAAACACAGACACTTTTCCAATTTCAATTCAGTTTTATTCATATAGTTCCAAATCAAAGCAGCAGTTGCCTTATTGTAAGGTAAAGATCCCACAACCCTATAATAATACAACAGAGAAAACCCGAAAAAGCTTGCTCATCAACCCCTTATGAGCAAGTGCTTTGACAACAGTAGGAAGGAAAAAAAACAAACTCCCTTTTAACAGGAAGACACCTCCAGCAGAACCAGGCTCACAGGGGGCAGCCATCTGGCCCCCTGACCAGTTAGGGTAAGGGGGGAAGAAGACAGGGAAAGGACAAGCTATTGAAGAGAGCCAGAGATTTATAATAAATAATAACGAAATGCAGAGGTGTATAAACAAAGTGAAAGGGGCAACTGAAGAAGAAACACTCAGTTTCTTCTACAATTTTGACTCCATTTGCTCATGGGAACCTCCCAGCAGCCTGGACCTTGCAATGTAACTAAGGAAATATTTAGGATCACCTGATCCAGCCCTAACAATATGTTTATTAAAAAAAGGAAAATATATATATATTTTGAGTCTAATCTTAAAAGTAGAAATAGTGTCTGTCTCCTGAATCCACAGAAGAGGGGCCTGAAAACTGAAGGCTCTGGCTCCCATTCTACTTTTAAATACTGAAGGAACCACAAGTAAGCAGTCTGAGAGCAAAGTGCTCTAATGGGGTGATATGGTGCTATGAGGCCATTAAGATGGGATCTGATTATTCAGGACCTTGTGTAAATTCAATTCTAGGTTCATTTTAAAATAATCTTAATAACTGTTATTCAGCTGCTGAGACTCTAAAAAATGTGGTTTAAAGTTTGTTTTTTTTGTTTTTTTACTGTTAATGCTATCCTTTCAGATTTTAACATAAGACTTAGGTGTTATAAAACTGAAGATTTAAACAGTTTTAGATACATTATACACTCTCAAAGCACTTTGTTTGAATAAAATGTTAGATTGAAAAACACAGCAGCAGAAGGTTTCACAGAAGTGTGATTACTTCTTCTAATTTCATAACATGATCCAGAGTCCACATAATCAACAGATTCACCCTGGAGGCAGGGCCAAGGCGGTTCTCTGGGTCCAAAGGTTAGGAGAAGCTTCATGCTTATTTTTTTATTTTTTATTTTATAAATTACACCTGTCCTGTGCCAGATGTTCTGTTGACCCACTGAGAAAGACATTATTTTTGTGACATCAGGAGGACTGACGCTCATCGCAGGGATCAAACAGGGAAGTCTTCAGACCTCCACTATCCGCTCGGCCAATAAGATGGACAAACCCAACATGTCATGAACAGTGTGTTCATCAAGAGTGAACACATAACATGATTTTTCTGTTGTTGTTTTCTGGGTGGTGCTGAGGGCGGCTCCTGTAATCAAAAGGAGAAAAGAATCATTACAAACTGTAAAATGTGAAGTGTATCTCTCAAATCTGAAATAAAGTGGTCAGAATTCAATGGTGGTCACCTGCAGGAAAACAAGAGACAAACACACATCATTAGCATTGTTTGAGCTGCTGCCCGAGTACTGGACAACATATTAACCTCCTAGGACCTGGCGTCCACATATGTGGACATCACATTTTGGGTTATTTAGACCAAAATATTTAATTTTGCTCTACAAGGGCCTGATATCCACTTACGAGGACATTATACTGCTACTGTTCTATCAACATTTTAAACGAATATCCTCATATGTGGCTCTCATTTTTCTTAGGAACAAAAATCTGGTTAAAAAAAATAAAATCTGGTAATTCTTTGTTTTTACATTCATGAGAACCCAATCAGCCCAAATATCAAAGAGAAATTAAAAATGCCTGCCGTGGAAGAGTTCGGGTCTTAGGAGGTTAATGCTTCACATCATTTCTCTCTAGCGATATAACATGTACAGAGTATTGAACATTTAACTTTGTGAACAACACCTAATTAAGAACCTAATTTTGCCCTTTTAAACAAGAACACTTGAAACAAACTCAGTTGAGGGAGAAAAAAAAAAAAAAAAAAAAAACTCTCTCTCTCTCTCTCCCCCTTTCAAACCTGTGGCCGGTCTTTATCCTTCAAGCTCAGGTCATCTACCAGAGGCTTATGAGCTTGAGGGTCCTGCAGAGTATCTTTGCCATTCCTAGGACTGCTCTCTTCTAGACAGAGATATTAGATGTTGTTCCAGGGATCTGCTGGAGCCACTCACCTAATTCCTGACAATTGCTGCATTCCGTAGTCAGTATCCGTAATGATCTCACTGAGGGGGTTCAGGCCTATGCAGAACAGCAGTGGGTAGATCCCGCACTTGATGGTGACTTGCGCTATAGATTTGAAGTTGGCCTCTAGTGTTGTTTGCCACATCACCAGTGAGTTCCTGATGAAGGCTGTTAGGGTCCTGTTGATCTTGTACAATTCTAGGAATTCCAGGATCCAAGTGTGA